AAAGTTGAGGCCGTGTACGCACCTAATTTTAAATTGGATAAAAAGAAAAATTAGATAAAACTTTATACCTCATTAGTAAATAAATTGACTAATCAACATAGGAAAAACACTCCACGTTTTAAATAAAATACCGAAACTGACTAAATGCTTTTCTATCGTTTTCTCATGATTTTAGATTTCATAAAAATTACAAAACTCACTTGAAGCTTTGACTGCACAGATGCAGCATAAGACTCATCTAAAACTTTAAAAATAAATCTATGAAACTAGCAGAAGCACTTTTATTGCGTAGTGATTTACAAACCAAACTTGCCTCTTTACAACAACGCATCAACAATAATGTGCTAATCCAAGAAGGCGATGAACTGAGTGAAGACCCTAATGCGCTGATGGGTGAGGCCTTTAGTGTAAATACAGAGTTACATCATCTGATTGAAAGAATTCATGCGACCAATGCTCAAGCTAAAACCAGCACGGGTCAATCCATGCTCAGTGTTTTAAACACACGTGATTTGCTCACACAACAGCATCGTATTATTCAACAGGCCATCGACAGCTCACGACGTGAAAATGGTCGTTATAGTTCGAGTGAAATTCGCTGGGTTAAAACCATTACGGTTGCAGACTTGCAAAAACAAGCCGATGCAATTAGCCAGCAACTCAGGCAAAATAACTTAGAGATTCAAGCTTCAAATTGGCAAATCGAACTGATCTAGCCAATTTGAGCCACAACAGTTTGGGCATATTGGGCGAGTACAAGGCCTTTTATACGTTTGTAAGGCTTTAATTCAACAAACGTTTGCAGGAAGTAAGACGTCTACTTCACATTTTCACAAATCTGACGTAGCACAATGCATCTTTTATACTGCACATCGCACCTTGCACCACCATGTACTGACAATATGCCTCCCTATTTTCACCTATTAGTACGCATCAGCCTGTGTAGGCGTTTTCTGATTAAAAGCCATTTCTTGTGATGGAAGTTTATAGTCACGATCATGCACAGGAACACCACCAATAATCATGGTACGAGCCTCAGTTCTAGGCTGATTCAAATCCTTTTTTGCATCACACGCGGTCAGTTGAGTGAGCAATAAAACCAATACTAGGGTAGATAAGGTTTTCATCATATCCCCTCATTTATCATTATTGTGCTTTCAGCATAGCACTTTTATTTTTCCAATCCTATCGACTTTGTTACAACTCTTATCCATCTACATGATGGTTCTCTGCGAATTTTCTTTATAAAATAAATATCAATCATTCATAGATAAAACAATAACATGAGTGATTTAAGCTCACTAAAATTAGACTTAAACATTTATCCGATGTATTGAAAAAACTATCTTGGCGGAGTCTTATCTTGTTTTATTCAATTTCTTCATCAGCCTGCGGCTCGCCCTACTTTTGTTTCGACAAAAGTAGGCAAAACCATTGTCATCTGCAAAACCTGTTCATT